CACGTGCATCCTCTCCCACAAAGTCACTGTCCTCTCATATCAATGACAGAACACGTACATCTTCTTCTCCCACAAAGTCATCATCCTGTCTTGCCAACACCAAAGCATGTGTAGATAATGTACAAGATGTGTCTAACTTCACAAAACCAGACTTTACTCCTGCTGATATTAATACACAAACTATATCACATTATTTCAACCAATCACTCCCGATGCACAACGGTGACAATGAAAGAAGTGCATTTCATGTTTCAGTCAGATCATTGGCCATTCATGTTGGTGACAAAAATCACAATGCTTCCTTTAGTTCACACCTCAACAATTTTTGTGACAACATCCATGAATCTATCACTCAAAATAACAATATACAACACATAGTTACATCTTCTCCTCAGTCATCATCAACTGATATTGATAACACACGCTGTATCCTGCATTTCCCTTCAGTCTCTTCAAATTTTGACAGTGATGTAGAGAATGCATCCACTTATTCACCTGATCATGTTCTTGATAATACAAAAACTGTATCCCACCCTTCCAGCAATACACAGTCCACCCTTGCCAACACTGACAGAGAAGGTGCATATACTTTTTCTGATAATTCATCATCCACCTTTTTTGATGGTGTTTCACAAGATACATTCAGCTTACTCATGAAAACACCAGCCGCACATATTGAAGGTAATCGGTCAGAGAATTCTTGTTCTGTCAGTCAGTCATTGTATTTGCAAGTTGATGGTGAGACACAAGGTAAATTGCATCAATCTATCCAATCACCATCACCCTGTGCTGATGCTAACAAAGTTGGTGGAACTGGATGCTCAATCCATTCATCAACATCTCAGATTGATAGTTTTAAACAAAGAGCATCTAATTCTGTCATCTATTCATTCACTTCTAATATTGATAATCAACTTAATGCGTCCAGTTCTCCCCACTATTCACCACTTTGTTATGTAGATAGCAGCTTAGGAACCATATCTAAACTTCCTAAAGTACAATCTACTCAGATTGATAGCATGGCACTAGATGTATCTAACATACCCATCCAATCATTGTCTATCCATGCAGATGATTCTGGACAAGCTATTTCTCATTCTCTGTCCCAAACACCATTTACCAACATTGGTGAAAACGGACCTGGTGCAATACAAACATTTCAATCATCCAGTTCTTCAGTTCAATTTCATTCTATCCCTGACAGTGAACAAAATATTCCCAGTTCTTCCGTCCATACATTATCCACCTCTGTCAAAGATAAGGCAGCACCCAAATTCAGATCTTCCTCCAAATCACTGTCAGTCTATGATCATGATGAATGTATAACTTACACAGCATCAACACTGCCTATGCCTGTGATGCATGATGGTATGCATTCACCTGACAGACCATTGTTGATTCCTGTTCACAACAATATATCCCCCATCCATCCACTATACACTTCTGTGAACCAGAGCGAACAAAGTGCATCTCATCCATCAAGCAAAGTTAAAAATGTACAAGATGTATCTGCTTCTTTCACTCAAGTTTTGACCTGTGACGACAACGGGAGAGGTGCTGTTTCACCAACATCACTGCCCACACAGAACACAAAAGATGGTACTTGTTCCTCAACCCAATCATTTCCAACTAGCAGTGAAAACAGACAATGTATGCTGCATGAAGTCAGCCCTCCTGTCAATTCACCATCAGTTCACAATGGTTGCACTGCAGCCTATTCCATCTGTGTACCATCCACTTCTCTGAGTAATACTTTATCTAAGGCTCCCACAAAATCACCTTCAACCTCCATTGTTCAACAAGTTGCATCCAGTTCACTCAAGCAATCACAACACACAGATCCTAGAAAGGCCTCTATTCATTCTTCCTCCAAATCAATATTAAGCCTTGCCCATTATAATATTCATGACATATACAATTCTTCCATACAATTAACTAATGAGGAGCCCAAACCACAAAGTCGGTCAAGTTCTTCTACCCTATCACTACTCTCTTTTATGGACGACACGCAGTGTTTGCCTTCTGCAGTCAAACAAATATTAGAGACTCCTGATCACACTCAAGATATGTCTATATCTTTCACTCAATCCACCTGTGGAGATAGTAAACAAACTGCTTATTCTACTAGTAAATCACAGCTCAATCCTGGTAATACCAGGAATGATGATGAGGATAAACCAGATTTATTATATAAATCCAGACCTTCTATTCATTCATCCTCACACCATGCTTTATATGATGCAGGAACTGTGTCAAGTTCTTCTGTTGGTTTACTCTGGTCTAAAATGGAGGAGAATGTGAGAAGTGCAACAATCCCTTCCACCAACACACCCTCTGGCTTTGGTCACCATACTGTAAAATATGCCTCTAGTTCTATCTCTTTACAGTCCAAAACTGAAGAATCTCAGCAAACTATATTCTATTCTCGCAATCAGACACCAACCAACTTCGTCAGAGATAATATATCGCATTCACACAAGTCTTGCCCCAAGTCACCATTCACATATGCCAGTGATGATCAGCAAATTCCATTGAGTTCAGCCAGCCAATCACCATCTGCATGCTTGGCATATAATGCACAAGCTACGCCCTCTTCCATCAGACCACTGCTCAATCAAGAGGGAACAAATTTACACATTGTACCTCATTCATCCACCAGTCAACAAGCTTTTAAGACTTACATTCATGTATCATCCTCTCAGGCTGTCCATGACAATACATTAGATGCAGCAACATCTCAATTCAAATTACTGTCTGCTGATGTTAATGATCAAACTCCTTTTTGTTCCTCTGCCCAATCAATATCAGTCTACACTGACAACAAAACACAAGATGCATCAAATTATCCCCAATCACTAGCCACCCATGTGGATGATAACTTTCAAAGTCTTTCTACTCCTTCCCCCCAATTACTGCACAATCGTAATAAAAATAGAACAGCTAATATTTCAAACACCCAGTCTCAAAGCACTCCTATTAGCAGCAAACCACAAACTACTTCTCGTAAACCCTCCCATTCCAAGTCACGCCCAGTGAGCAATCATTTATATAGAGGTTGCTCTTCATCTATCCATTCCACATCCAACCCAGTTAGCAATCATTTACATGGTGGTAGCTCTTCATGCACCCATTCCACGACCAATCCAGATAGCTATCGCTTACATGGCAGCACCTCTTCATCCACCTCTTCCAAGTCCAGTCCTGCTGATGACAATTTATACAGCAATTTCAATCCATGCACCAATTCCAAGTCCATTCCTGATGGTAACAATCTGCACAGCAGTTTGCATTCATCCGATCATTCCAAGTCAAGTTCCATTCATCATAATCTTCACAGTGATTTCAATTTGCCCACCCATTCCAAGTCGAGTCCTGCTCATAACAGCCTACACAATGATTCCATTTCATCCACCCAATCCAAGTGCAGCCCCAGTAGTAATAATAATTTACATTGTGGTTCATGTTTATCCATCCATTCGAGGTTCAGTCCTATTAGTCATAATCTGCATGATGGTACCTATTCACCTACCCAATCTCAGTCCAGTCCCTTTTGTAATAAACTACAAGCTTGTCTCAATTCCCCCACCCAGTCCTCATCTAGTTCTATTAGTAATAATTTCCAAGGTGGATTCTATTCACTCACTGAGCCCTGGTTAAACCTGGTTAGTAATAATCCAAGAGATATTTCTTGTTCCTACACTCCCACCCAGTCAAGATCTAGTGATAATAACTCACAAAATACTTCTTGCCCACCCACTTATGTTGATCACAGATCAGATATGTTACATGCATTGATGTCTTCTGAACATTCATCATCACCCCACACTTTTTGTGCTGTAATACCTACATCCAGTTTTTCTGCGTATTCATCAGGCAGCCTAGTCAGTGATAATGGACTTAATGTATCCAGGGTCACCCCTAAATCACCAACTTATGTTGATGATGGCCAAAAAAGTGCACCTAGCTGCACTCAATTATTATCTGCTCATGTGCCAAGTGAAGTACCAGATATATCTTCTCTTTCTCGCCAATCGACACATATTCATACTGATGAAAGTTCACAAAGTAGTACACAATCTTCCAAGTTTTCCCGAGTTGATCGAGAAGTATCAGACTCTTCTGATCAGGTGGGATCCTCTCACACTAAAGCTAAGCCACAAGTTTCTTGGTCTTCAATATCATCATTTTGGAACAAGTATTCTAAGGAATTGGCACCTAATTGTTCATCACCTGCGCCTAGTTCCTCTATATTTCCTTCGTCCACAAGCCCTGATGATTCATCAGGTGCATGGAGTTCCTCTACCCAGTCATTGCGTACTATGATCAATGATTTATCAAGTACATCCAGTTCTCTGGTTCAGTCGTCATCGCCCAGGAGTGATGACAGTACTTCATTCACATCTGGATACACAGTTACTTCATTCAATGAAGAATGAGATGATGACATTTTTTAACTGCCAGCTTACTTAGTTTGAAGTGCAATGTCTCAGAGGACATCACAGACATCAATAACAGAACATTAAGTGGACTTCCACCAGTGCATCACAATAGTAACTTCTGACTTCTGCAATCCAGGATTTAAAATGGATTTCCCATGATTTTATTCTCTCTCAAATATAACAGTTTAGAAATGTTTACTGCGTAGTTCATTAAAAGTTTTAAAATTATACTATGTAGCTTTGTGACTAAATTATGTTAATTACTTTCATGTCAATTAGTAGCTAATGAAACTCTTTTACGTTTCTATTTTGAGACCAGAATCGGCAGTTGTACTGGTACAAATTTGGTATAGTCTCAGAACCAGCCATCAATCTGAATATTAGGGAAATCATTTATTATTAGTAAACATAAAAGAAATGGAAAATATAAACAAGAGCAAAGTAAGGTAGATACTGAAATAAAAACAGAACACCAGGAATACTCAGCAGGTGTGGCAGTATCTTTGGATAGAATTCAGTTACTGTTTTAAGTCCATTATGATAATTGTATTCACATTGGATTCAAAACCCAGATTATTTCTCTCTCCACAGATGTTGTCAGATCTGTTGTGCTTCTCCAGTACTTTGTCTTTATTATCAAAAAATAAGTTTGGTTTATCTCTCCAATCTTGTAATAAAGCAAGAGTTTTAACCTTCTGAATATAATTTGTAACAGGTTCTGACCTTCAAGAAGCTACAAAGTAAACTTTATTGCAGGACAGTGAATTTTCTGGTGATTTCTGGCCCAACTTAGGATAGTATAGATGCTTCAGGAGTAGGAAAACTGGACATTGAAATACCATGCCAAAATGTTGCTGCTAGAATCATTTCTCTAATTGCAGAATAGGGATTCTGGTATATTCAAACATTCCAAGTCGTGATAATCATGCTGTTTTTCAAATGTAACACATAAGCATCTCATCTGTCCATTTACCACTCAGTTTGATCAGTGATAATGTCCAAGGTGTGTCTAAGTCTTCCCAAAAATCAGCACTGGATTGGACAGAGTGTAAAGTTAATGTAATTCTTTTGAAAGTAACAGATTTCAATCTTGGAATTCCTTTGCTTCTATGCTTTGAAAAGCAGAAAGATGAGAACAAGGAGGGAGTCCTCAACATAAAGGCACCTAGCCAGTGCATCTACAAAGGGTTAAATGTATGGATTTCTCCTACAATATCAATATCAAAAAACTGAACTGCATAACAAATACAACTTTTTAAAAAGGAACCAATTTCCAATTATTTTCTTTTACCTTTTATCCACATTCTCATACATCGAAATGTATTAATAAGATCAAAAGACCTGAAACTATTTACACAATGTAAAAACTGAGGGTTTTAATCACTGCATATGTTGAGTTTTTAAAATGAATACCAATTGTGACAATCCAGAATGTATATTACATGAAAAAGACTAAGAGTTTCTCAATTTAGAAAAAGATTTTTGTTATTGAACAAACTTCATTTTTGCTTAGCAGTTTAAATAATTTTGTCATCTGTAAAATAAAATGTGGGTTTAGGTCTGGAACAGTAACCTTTCTGTACACACTGTAAAGTTCTTTCAGCAAAGTGAAGTTAAAAATTGCCAAATGCCACCTTCAGTTCAAGCTTCAAGTTCAACTTCAAACTAAACATTCATAGATTATAAATAACTTACACTGTCATGTGGATATATTTCTTGTTCAAGGAATTTAACATTTTATCAGATGACTAATTATTTCCTCTACTCCCAGTGGTGCGGTACATCACTGGCAGCCAATACAAACATAGGTTTCACAGGACGGCAGAGAGCAGAAAACCAAGGTACATGTAAATGTATCCCTAACTGTGATAGCTGGAAACGTGTGGACAACACTTTACAATGCTGAGCTGCGTTTGCCCCGGATGCTGCCCAGTGAGGCACGCAGTCGGGGGTCCCTTGCTTTGTAATGCTCATTGAAGTCAAGTCTGAAGTTAAGGAAACGGAGACTTTCATCAGAACTTTTTGTCAACAGTACCAGGAATTGCTGAACAATGTCCTAAGGGAAAGAAAGGAAGATTAATGACATGAAATTAGTCGGTATTGCAACATTTTACTTTGAATCAAGTGAAACTCATAAAGGTGTAGTTTAGCTTAATGAGCATGGGAAAGATGTGTGCTAAGCATAAACAGGGAAAATTATACTTCATCTTTTAGGTTGGCAGCTAAACAAATTAAAATCAACTGCATAAGATTTAACAAAAGAGGAAACATTTGCCCTCAACCAAGATATCACAGTTAAGGAGATCTCACTTCGGGGTCATACAAGTGCATCTAAGCCAGTTATCTGGATGATGCAGTCAATAAATACATTACCTAAATTTAACTTAAAAACAACGGTGTATACGAACCAATTAGATGCAAAATACTCTGAATGGGGCAGGACAAATTTAAATAGGGCAGAATTTTACACAAATGGATGATCGCTAGCTCCACAGGATGAGAGTTACAGGTGAAACTAAAATGTGTGAGAGTGTTGAAACTGAGATATTGTTCCCATGTTTCCTTTTAAAGAAAGCGGAAGCCAATTACTTTTCACATAAATGTAACCCGGAATGCAAGGCCTGAAAGTTAGCAATCACCAGTTGATACAAAGAGTCATTCACTAAGATCATAAACTATAGCAAATGAAGTAGGTCATTCAGCTCATCGATTCCACTCTGCCATTCAATGAGATTAAGGCTGATTTGATAATCCTCAACTTCGCCTTCCTGCCTTTATCCCTGTTACCCTTGAGTACCTTAATGATTAGGAACCTGGCTATCTCAGCATTGAATATACTTAATGACCCAGACTGTACACCTCTCTGCAGTGAAGAATGCCACGGATTCACCACCTTCAGAAAAGATACTTCGTCTGTGTCTGAAATAGGCAACTCCTTACTCTGAGATTATGCACTCTGATCCTACACTCTTCCACTGTGGAGATGACCTCTCCCCACCTGCCCTATCCTAGACCCTAAGAAACTTATTTGGTTCAATAAGGTCTCCTCTCATTCTTCTAAATGAGAATGAGTACAAGTTCAACTTATTGAACCTCTCCTTATTCTAAAAATCGCTCCATTCCCAGAATCAGCCAACTTAACCCTCTGTAGGCTGCTTCTAATACCAGAATCTCTTTCATTAGATAAGGGGCCTAAAATTGCACACAGTACTCCAGTTGTGGTCTGACTAGTGCCTTGTATAGTTTTAGTAAAAGCTTTCTAATTTTTAATTCTCCATTCTCTGTGAAATAAAAGCCAACATTCCATTTGACTTCCCTATTAACCAGTGAATGCGTGCTAGCTATTTGCGATTCATGCACTAAGACTTCCAAATCCCAATGCTGCAGCTTTTCCTAGTCAACTAAAATTCATCCCATCTATTCTGCCTGCCAAAGTGCATGAGCTCACATTTTTCCTACATTATACTCCATCTGCCAAGTTTTTGCCCCCTCATTTAACCTGCCAATTTTCTTTTATAAACTCCTTGTTTCATCCTCACTACTTGCCACCACATCTATTTTTGAATCATCTGCAAACTTGGCGATAGCACATTCACTTCCCTTCTCCAAGTCATTAAAATATATGTATAGTAAATAATTGTGGCCACAGCGTTGATATCTGTAGCACTTCTTTAGTTATGGCTTGTCATCCTGAAAAGGTCCCCTTTATCCCAACTCCCTGTCTTTGATTAGGTATTCAGTCTTCTATTCATGCTAACATACAACCACCAGTACTATAGGCTGTTACATTAGCTTCATGTATGGGGCCTTACTGATTGCCTTTTGGAAATTCAAACAAACTACATCTATTAGCTCCCCTTTTATCTACTCTGCTTGTTACATTCTCAAGGAACAGCTATAAATTGGTCAGGCATAAATTTCCCCTTCATGAAGCTGAGTTTGCTTGATCATATCGTGTTTCTAAATGCTCTGCTATTGCATCCTGTATAATAGATACCAACCCCCATTGACGGATATTAAACTAACTGGTCTATACTTACCTGCATTTTTGTTTCCCATCCTTTTTGAATATGTGTGTTTGATTGGCAATTTTTGAATGTTCTGGGGCTTTTCCAGAATCTAAGGATTCTTGGAAGATTACTAGCACTGCTTCTACTACGGCTATAGCTACTTCCTTTAAAATCCTAAAACCATCAGATGCAGGGGACTATTTGCCAGATTCACCCCATTATTTTCCCTCATATCTTTTCCCTTGTGATAGTTACTTGTTTGTTTCGTGCTCTCTTTGTCTCCTTGATTATTTACTATTTTTGGACTACTATTTGTATCCTCTACTGAAGACTGAAACAAAGTATTTGTTCAGTTCTTTTGCCATTTTCTGGCACCCCATCATAATTTTTCCAGCATTGTTGCCTCTCTCCTCCTCTTGTATATTTAAAGAAGCTCTTATTGTCTGGTTTTATGTTACTCGCTAGTTTCCTTCAATTTACTTTCTCTCTTTTTTTCTGTTAATTAATTTACTTTGTTCAGACTACTAAGCATGTTCAAGTAAAGAGCCATTAAGTTTTGCCTTTCTACCTTTTGCTCCATCTTTGCTCCCATCTGCTGGTATTTTTTTTTTCATGGTTGTATGTTGTCCTTTCCTGCCCTACTCGGAGTGTCATCATCAAAATATTGCCCTGCCATGTTACCTTATCCTTTTGCTTTGCAAACCTGTCACCCCCAAACCCCCTACTCCACCACCACAACCCCGCAGACCCTCCCTCCCCTCTAATTAGTCCCCACTAGATCATTCATTGCAACCAAACATATTGCAATTCAGATTTGAATGACATACCTGGTAGAAATGGGAACACACCCGTATCTGGGAAGACATTTTAGGAATTAACTGTTGAAATTCATGAATTCTTTTATTTTCTGCCTCTTCTTCAGCTGATGTCGTTCCCCACATACCCTAAATGAAGAGGGAAAATAAACCATTGACATCACTAATCAGATTTGTGCAATGTCAAACGTTAGCAGGCAAATGAAAAATATCAGGATTGAACATTGGCAGCAGGCAGTTAGGATATAGTCAAAGTGCAAGTTCCCTTCCTTGGGACATACAGAACTCCTGGCAATTATTACATTGAGATATAATTAAAGTAGCAGGGTGAATTCTTCCTCAGAAGAACTTCAGCATCTTCTAATCCCTTAATGCCAGTCCTTGGAGCAATTTCCAGTTCCTTGGTCCCTGCCTTGAAGCGATAATATATTTTTCTTGGCCACCACATGTCCCTAGAGTTTGATGGACAACCTGTGCAAATATTATGACACGCAAAACAGAATTTTAAAGGGCTTCAGGGAGAAGACTGGCAGATGGCAGGTGAGGGGAGATTGCATAGATAGGCAGGAGCATGCTGGTTGCCTTTTTGACCAGTAGCTCTTGGAAGTGACACCTTCAGCCTCAAATGGACAGGTGCCTTGACATCAGATAATAAATTGCCCGATACACAGAAAATCTGTTTGGGTCTTTCAGAAGTGGCTATGGTGGGGCCCTCAACTATCTGTCCACTGGGTGGGTCAACAATCTTCCCATAGAAGTCTGGTACCAGATTCAAATTGTTCAAGAATTAGGGCAGATTTTGAAATGGCACTTTATTTTCCTGTAAGCAAAATAGCCTTCACGTGTTACTGGTGGATCGGACTACCAGTTGGTAGAACACTTGTTTCTGAGACAGAAGGCAGCGAGTTCAACTTCCATTCGAGAAAATTGACCACAAAATCCAGACTGACACTCCTAGAACAGTACTGAGATACTGTTCCAATTTTGAACGTGCTATCTTTCAGATGAGAAAGAATCCAAGGGACTTATCAGGTGGATGTAAGAAGACTCCAAAGCACAATGTGAAAAATAACTGGAGAGTTTCCCAGTGTTACAATCAATATTTATGTTGTAGCATCATTAACGCAATTATTTGTCTAAAAAACTACTGCTGCTGATAGGATCTGTTTGTATCCAAATTAACTGCCATGCTTGTCCAGATTACAATAGTCACTGAATTTAAAATATCTCAAAGGTTATCAAGTAATTTTGGACATCCTGAGATCAAAGGAATAATATTTCAGTCTATTTATGGATCATATCCTATCTACACAGTCAAGTGTGTATTAATGCTTTTGACTGTTCAGCTAAATGTTCACAGACTGTCTCGGTTTTGAGGGGCACAAAAAGCCCTTCAACAACGTCCACATCCATACCTCTGCCTGTCGTTGCTTCTTGATGTCTGCATAACGAAGCCGGAGATGCAGTTCTTCCAGAGCTGAACGGTACATGGAATCCTGTGCACTTTGAAACTCCAGGATTCGATCGAACAGAGCTCGAAGTTGTGTCAACAGTTCCTTGAATGGACACAGATTTCAGAAAGTGTAGAAATTTTCTCAGTTAACAAACACCAAAATATTTCAAACTCCCTGCCATTCAGAATAGCAGACCTTCCAATCAGACACCAAATGCAAAAGCATGAACCTTCGCATCAAAAGTTCCTCCTCACTTACTTGCACTGACTACACAGAAATACCTGACTCCTCACTCTCAGGTCGAGCATCTCCACCTACACCAATAACTCAGCACATTCCCCTGAAAATTTACAAAAAGTTAAACGTTAAACTAAACATTTAGTTTCCGAACATGATTATAGCGTCTGAGACCTTAAAGGGAAAATCTTGTCAGGAGTTAACCCTCTCACTTTAAGAAAATAAGTTTCAGTCACAGACCTCTGAGGCCAGCAATATATTTGTTTTAAGTATATCGTCCCAGTTACAACCTTGTTGACACACCTTTCACTCTCTCTCTGCATCAAACTGCTTTACTATACCTTTTGTCTGATTCAGTGTTCTGCTATTTAAAATATTTTTGTATTGAGATGCAACTTACTCAACAATTCAACCATTCTGGAAGTGAAACACAGGACAATATGTCTGAATGTTTCAGTTTGTATACTTAGGTTTGGATGCTACACCACATTGAATGCATCAATTTTTTTCTAGCCACCTTAGATTTGAATGAGGTTCTGTACTGGTTTGATCAACTGAATGGATTGCTAGGACATTGTAGAGGACAGTTAGGAGTCAGTCACATTGCTGTGGAGTCACAAGTCGGCCAAAACTGGGTAAGCCGAACTGATTGTGAAAAAATATCCAGTAATCATTCAAGTATTTTATTCCAGAATTAACAGTCAATTGAATTCAAATGCATCAGTCCGGGCCTCTGGATTACAAGTTCAGGAACATTACCACAATTCTACAGTTTCCAAGCTGCAGCAACTTGTCAAGTTCACGTGACTGCATCTTCCACACTGCTCTGAGCTCTACCACCTAGAAGGTCGAGTGCAGCAGATACGTTGGAATACCAACACATGCAACTTCCCCTCTTAGCATGATACCTTTTGAAGTTGGCACTATAATCCCTGTTGCTGGATCAAAACCCTGGAACTCCCTTCCCGAAGCACTACAGATGCCCTGATACACATGAAACGTAGCAGATCACCATCACCTTCAAGGGTAACTAAACATGGTAATGAGTGCTGATCTTGCTAGTTATGCTCAAATCCCATGAACAAATGTAAAAAAAATTAGACTCACCTTTAAATCCTATTTCCATATAAAACAAGGTTAACCTACTGAACTTTCACTTAGTACAGATTCAGATTGCTACAATAAATCAACACGAGCCAATCTCAAACCACTTACTTCAGAGTTACTGTCCAGCAGACATCGAGAGATTATCGTGTTGAGGAAAGTTTCATGTGCAGCAGTGATGTGATCAAGATCCTGTGCCTGCTGCAGTTTATTCCATAGTTCATCCCATGAACATTCCAATACCTGCAAATAAACATATCTTGCCTCAATTAGCCTGAAATTTCACCCCCGTGGCTTCACTCTAAGAGATGCAAGTCTTACTTTTACCAAAAGTGTCTGATCTTTCATCTCTACACATTTGCAAAACTGAGATCAGGTTTCCTCATAATATGCACCTCTGCCAACAGTCCCCCAAGTCCTTTATGATCAGCACTTCTCTGAACTACTTGTAATAATGATTAAAGCTGGACACAAAATTGAGTAGCTTTTTCTAGAGCTTTCAGTATATTTGCTGTATATCCTCTGCCCTTTTTCTTGCTGTTGTGATAGATTTGTATTTTCTGTACAATAAACAAATACAATGAGACATGAGAGAATGTGAAATCCAAGTCTGTCAGTTGGTGGTGTTGCCACAGGATGCCAAGGGCTGCACCCAACATCATCTTTCTTATAATCAAGTCCATAACTAAGAGGATATTGAATGGGGGATAAGTATGGAACTTTGCCTCATTCCTGAGACAACGTTGAAGGTGCCCATCATTTCCATGCTGGCCTTTATGCAGCAGCTACTCACAGAGAACAGTTTGTAAAATGTTAATAAGTTTCTACCACTTCAGGATGCTGTACAGCCCTGGGACATACCAGAGTGATTGCCGATGGATGCTAAATAAAAACTGAAAGAACTGTGGATGCTTTAAATCAGGAACAAAAACAGAAGTTGCTGGGAAAGCTCAGCAGGTCTGGCATCATTTGTAAAGAAAAGAATCAGAGTTAACATTTCGGGTCCAGTGACCATTCCTCAGAACTCAGGGTTAGATCTAAGTGCACGGAAAGCGGTCAGTTCAGAGGGAGATAGGTTGAATTTGGTGAGGGGGGCAGAGAAATTGAGGTGACCAATATCACGTCGACAATTCTCAATGAACAGATGGAGTGCAGGTAAAAGGCCAGAGGGAGTCATCCAGCTGGAGCGAGGGCATTTGAACTGGGCAAAGGGGCCTGTGGGACGAGGAGAGGACTCTTGTCCAAAGAAATGGGCACAGAGGCAAAGATGGTGGAAGAAGAGTTTGACGTCATGTCGTGCCCAAAATTCGTTAAAGGTGGGGATGCAGAGAAATAAAGCTGATGCCTTTGTGTAGTACAGAACGTTCAGCATTGGAGAGCATAAGGTTAAGACAGATGGTGAATACCCAGCAGAAGGTGAGGTTGGGAGAGGGGATGGAGTCAGAGGGAAGGGGACGCGAGGAAGGTTCCAGAGGGCCATGGGTATCTCAGAGTTGTTGCACCTTGTGGGCCTTCATGCCTGAAAGGAAAAGAAAAGGTTTTTGTTAGCATAGCGTATGAGCCGGAGGATGAAGTGGAAACGTGGAGTGGTGCAGCCCTGAGCCAGCTTGTTGCAATGCTGGAGAGAAAGGTCAAGAATATGCATGTGACGCAGCATGGCACTAAGAGTGGATCTCAGGATGCAGCGAGAGCAGCTGTCTGTGGAACGAATGTCGCCAAGATATCTGTGAGCCTGGGAGGACTCAAAACATGAGGGATGAAACTTCAGTTGGAATCCACGTGGAGGGAGTCTGAGCCATAGGCAGTCACTGAGGAATGTGATATGGCTGTGGAAACGAATTTTAGCAAATACTTGGTCAAACATCAGGAGTGATAGTGAAATTAATGTCGGTGGACAAGAAGATAGATTGGAACGGAAATCCCATCGGAGAGAGGAGCAGAACCTCTTCAAGGTGGGCATGACTAGAAGAGATGTGACAGTGAGTTAAATACTGAAAAATAATGAAAGAACTGCAGATGCTGTAAATCAGGAACAAAAGCAGAAGTTGCTGGAAAAGCTCAGCAGGTCTGGCTGCATCTGTGAAGAAAAAAAATCAGAGTTAAAGTTTCGGTCTGTTGACCCTTCCTCAAAGATCACCGGACCCAAAACGTTAACTCTGATTTTTTTCTTCACAGATGATGCCAGATCTGCTGAGTTTTTCCAGAAACTTCTGTTTTTGTGCCAATGGATGCTACTGGGAGCCTTCTTGAAATCAACAAAGTTGATAACAATTGGCTTCTGATATTCTAGGCTCTATTCAATGATGTTCCTGATAGCCTGGAAACCTGCCTGTTCTTCAGTAAGAGCAGTGACTACTTCTGCTTTAAAACTTTTGGTAAGTGTACTCCCACACCACATAAAACCACTATCACATCATCTAACCTTGGAGTGAATTGGAATTAACTAGCTACTTAGAGGGTTCCAAACAGTGAAGATTTAACAAGAGAGTCTACTAAACTAAGTCCAAAATGTTATTTGCAACTGGATTGGTTAGGAATTGAAGAGGAGAAGTACTGTTGTTGCTTACTAACAGACACCAGTGTCACAAGGAACTACCCAGAAGCTTAGGCAGTATGCATGTTTCATTCAGAAAGGAAGGATCTGTAACATCAAAAGAACTGTTTATAGTAGTTGTTTGTGTTCCACAGCAAAGAGTTGACCCCGACGGAATGTTGTAGACTGACACATTCCAACGTCCACAACGGTGTGTTGAGGGATGCACTAAATCTTGGGGCAGTTGCCGCCAAGGAGCCATGGGGAAAGACCACTGTCTGAGGTTATTCTGCTGAAGTTAAATGGGGGTCCGTTCAGTTATCAGACACCCTGGTGTCTCAGTACATGTAAATATAGTCTTTACAAGAAAGAGATGCCTTTGATTTGTTTGTCAAATAGAGTCAAACTCCAATGTTTGTTTGTTCTTTAATATGCTACTATACAGAAATGAAATCCATTACTGACTATGTATATAAAGATGTTTTTGTGTATATTTGTGAAATAAAAAACGTTTATAGTAATCTCCAAATCACTCAGGGATAGTGAAAAAAGGCTCGAGTTGCTTTGAAGAAAACTCCAGAAGCAACAAGCTGTCAAAGATCTGAGTTTGAGGAACCTATTTGAAATAATAAGTGAGCTGTGTTGGCAGTTTAGGGATCTCAAGAAGAGATATTAACTAGCAAATTTTCTATGTACTGAGAGCAATGAGGGACTGAGTGCTAGCAGAGTGTCTGAATACTAAGAGTATTGAGTGACTGCTGCTGGACTGGTGGGTTATCTAATGCAGAAAATATCAATTCTCAATGGCTAACTGCACTGAAGGAGCAGAATGGTTGAGGGGGTGGAGGGGAGTGGAGAAAGAAGGGTTTTGCTGTTACAGAGGGTTGTGGGTATGGATAGGCCTTAGCTGTGGTTGGTGTCAGTAACACCAGTGTGGCAACAGGATTTGGCAGTCTTGGTGATATGCTTATAGTATATGCAGGAGAGGGATGAATAATACATAGTTGTAGCCTTATATTACCCATTAATAAAAGATTGCTTTGTTGAACAGTCAAAATCTACCACAAAACATTCATATAATTAATTTGACATTTTTCACACCTGCTTGCAAAGTGGTACAGCATAATTATTGAAGAAAACTAAGAATACTGTCAATGTATTTTAAACAGAAATCTAGCCCAGTAATAAATGTGTGTGTGTTTTACAATCCTCATTGGACATACCTCAAATGTGATATAATACTGCATCTGATGCACAAAGTGTACCATTTCTGATGCTAGAATATGACACTGCTGGAGCACCCCTGACAATTCTGTAAGAGAAGAAACGTAAAGGAATACATTTCATAACAGTACAAGACCATTTAGAATTTAAGACATCAGGCTCAATGAGAACAGCAATCTGACACTTGATTGTAAGTCAATTTTCTTTTAGTTGGGTTAATTTTTCATTAGGCAATAAAACAGTGTGATAAGTAGTTACCATTAATTTCATGTATTAATTCTTAAATAGCATGGACTGCCAGAGGCATTTTAAAAAGGCATGTGGTTAAATATAAACGAGAGATGTGCCACTAACTCATCAGCTAAAATTACACAAGCTAACAAAACCCAAAACAGCTGCAACTTCAATCGAGTTCCAAAATTCAATAAAACCTCTTATTCCAGCCACTCTGAACATGTTGGTTCAACACTGCATTTGTCACTCTTACAGCATATGAAATCCAACTTTTTAAAATCCATTTAACGATCATTGCAAGTATATGTTATGACACCAATTGATGTTATTACTGGACAAGTCAGACCCCAGACTGAAATCTGGCTTGACAGATTATGTTTTGTTTTGTTTGGTTTTAACAAGATATCACTGAAACACAAGCACATAATGTTGCAGATTTTGATTTAACAATAAAACAGAAGTTTATTAATCGAAAGAAATGAAGAGAAAATGGTAAACCAATCCAACTACATATAACACAAAGATTGCTAAGCATATGATAAAAATAGAATCCCACTACTCCATAAATATTCCTTCATAGGTCTCAGAAACATCCCTTGCACATTCCTGAACACCAAGGAAAAAGATTATTTTTAATACCTCAGAAGGCTGAAGTTAATTGTGACTTCAACTTCCTGTCTGGACAATCAGATACCTTTTTCCTGCAGCTATAATATATTTGAGCTTAAACATACCCAGCTTCAAATAACATCTTCAAAACACTTCTCATCTGGAATTACTACCAATTCCTTACTCTGAGGTAATCCAGTGTTAACAAATCTAACTAACTATCTTCTCATTTCCTCAGGACTTCAGCTTTACACATCCTCCTCCATGAAAGGGCTTTTGCAGAACTGTCCCCAAATGAAACTAAAACTGAAAAGTTTCTCTAAGACAATATACATTGTCCATAAAATTAAAAAGAAGTCCAGAAATTTCTAAAAGACTATGATGCACAATTGTTTACCTTCAGTTGGGAAAACCCTGGGTGTACATAAAAACTCATTAGTTTTGAAGGCTAGCCATCACAAATTTGGTAAAAGAAAATACCATAGCGACATCGATACAATGAAGTTAATTATTAACGTTGGAGACACGGAAAAACCCATATGTACCTTACACAAAATTTAAAAATTCAAACTTCGAACAAATGACATTACAATATACATAAATCGTAATCTACATTATTACATAGATAATACATACTCTTGCCATTTTTTATCTGATGCTTTCTCAGTGATCAAAGACTGACCCCTGCAGTGAACAACAGTCAGACCAAGAACATGAGAAGAGCAGCAGGCCATCTAACCTCTTGGGCACTTTATGTCAACGAAATTACAGTGGACCAGCATCTGAACTCCATATTTCCACCTTTACTTCATATCATTCGATAGTTTTGGAAAGCAAAAATCTATTCATTACAAAAATGAACAACCAATCTGGTATTGCACCAATTACAATACTCATCCAGAAATGGCGAACGCAAATCACATTTTTCTTGTAGAAGTATTTCCCAATTTGATTCTTGAAAGGTCTGGCTCTAACTCAAGTACTATTATTTGGACAATGGTACCTAGTACTAGACTTTCCAATCAGCAGAAATGAAAGTGTCTGCATCTCTCCACACACTCTCTCTGTTGTTGTAGAGTCATTGAGTCATTTGATTGAATCATACAGTACAGAAGAGGCCCTTCAGGTCATCAAGTGTGTATGGCCAAACTATACTAAATCTACACTAGTCCCATTTTTCAACACTTGGCCCATAACCTTGAATGTTATGTTATGACACTTCAAATGCTCATCTAAGTTTTTTTTTACAAGTTGTGAAGTTACCTACCTCAACTACCCTCCCAGGCAGTGCATTGAAACCCCTATCACCCTGTGGGTGAAAAGAATTTTCCTCAAATCCTTTCTAAATCTTATAATTATGCCCCATGCTATTGACCTTCAACTGCTTTCTATCCACCCTGTCCATGCCCCTCACTTCTATACACCTCTGTCAGGTTCCCCCTTTAACTTTCACTGCTCCAAAGAAAACCCAGTCTTACCTATTACTTACTTATCCAGCCTCCCTTCAAAGCTAAAATACTCCATGCCAGGCAACATCCTGGTGAATCTCCTCTCCAGAGAAGTAACATCCTTACTGTAGTGCAGTGACCAGAATGACTCCATTGGTACACTGAGTCTACTTTGGAATGCCCACAATCAAACCAGTCAATGCTTCTACTTATGAAGCTCAAGATTGCACATATTTCGTTAGCCAATCTCTCATAAGTCCGGCTCCCTTTAAAAGATCAATGCACATGCTGCTGCTGCACATTCCTAAGCATGATGCCATTAAATCTATATTGCCTCTCAATAAGTCTTCTGCTGAACTGTATGACCACATAACTCTAAATGTTCCTAGGAGTAAATACTACCAATCTAACCTTGCCCATCCATGTTGACGCTACTGTCAAGAATGCACACAAACGCCTCTATTTCCTCAGAAGACTAAGGAAATTCTGCATGTCCATAAAGACACTTACCAATTTTCATAGATGCACCACACAAAGCATCCTATCCAGATGCATCACAGACTAAAACAATGTAGGTTTTATTAATCCACTCAAAACTCCACGACACAAAAGCAAACAAGAAAGAAAACGAAAGGACAGAAGTTACACTTATGAATGGCTAAGAGATCAATGATAGTGGCACTAATTCATGTGAATGAGAGATCAGCACATCATTGTCTCTTGCACTTGGCTGGTCTGGCAGAATTATATTTTGCAGGAGATCAGATATAGGTAAATCCAGGTGAAGTTGCCACACTAGAATTATTTCAGACTGGGAATCTGTTCCCCTCTGTGGAAAAATACTGGACTTTAATACTTTTACAGCAAAACCTGTAAAAGGCTCTTCAAACAAGCCAGCAGTTTGAGTCACGTGACTGGGGCTCCTGGTTGAGACAGTCAACAAACAAGATGGTGTCAATGCATCTCATTAAAAAAAATCACGCATTTCTGTAGTTATCTTATAAGGCTATTAGCCTATCTCATGCATAGCATAGTTTTATTAGTCGTCTTTATTTCAAATTGAAGGTAGACATCTCGTCTACTATTCCTTTTTGTCGGGTTGCCTGGAACATACACATGATGCAAGGCACATAACATTCCAGGAGGATGATGCAAGCTTTAGTTCTTGGCTCACTGATCAGAATTTTCTAGAAATTGTTGTCAACTGCCATCACATGATTGGTAGCAGCGCCATGTATTCAGTCCAACAATGTATTTATTTAAGAGTAATTAAGGACAATTTTTGTTTTTTAAATTACTTACTTCACACCTTCTGGGTGTCACAGTACTAAGTTCATCAGCCAACTGTCTGTCCATTCTGCCTACTTATGTCCTGTTGTAGGTGATTCATATTATCCTCACGGTATACCACTTATCCAAATATGGTAGCAGTAGCAAATTTTAAAATTTTACTTCATATTTCACTATCCAAGTCATTTATACATAGCAAAAAAAGCAGGGCCCTTGGTAAAACTATTATCAACACCAGTTGGAAAAACAACTATCACAACTTGCTTTTCTGTCCTTAGGCCAATCTTTTAAATCCAATTCAACACTGACCCTCCAACTCCATGAGGTTCAATTTTGTTAATCAGCCTTCCACGTGGTTCCTAAAGTCCAAATGGATAAGATCCACCATATTCACATCTTCAATCTTCAATGTTCTCTATTAATTAAAACATTCAATTAGGTTATTCCACCTGGACCTGCCTTTTGCAAACCCATGCTGGTTCTCCTTAAGTCACTCAAAACTCTCCCAGGTTATATGGATTACGCACCTTACCCCACCCCCAGCGCGCGCACGCACACACGCACCAAATATGAATTCAAAAACCTTTCTTACCATTGATTTTAAACTAACTGGCCTGTCGTTGCTGAAACTGCCCTTACAGCCTTCCTTGAAAAAGGGAGTCAAAGCTACCAAGTTGCAACTCTGGTATCTCAACCATGTCTAGGGAAAATTGAAAAATTAAGATAAGCTTTTCCACATCTACACTCTTGCTTCCTTTAGCAACCAGAGCAGTTGACTTATCTAATCCTATGAATAGTCAGTCTTTCCAGTGATAGTAAGAACTGCAGATGCTGGAATC